AATGATTACTTTAAGGCATGAGAGATCATTAATTCTCAATTGGAAATAATTAGATATTATCGTTTTCTCTCGAATCAATATTTATTTTTAAGACGGAATAGTGATATCTCTTCATTCCAATTGGAGTAATAAATGACCGCTTTAAGGCATGAGAAGTCATTTATTCTCAATTGGAAATCATTAGTTATTATCGTTTTCACTCGAATAAATATTGGATTTTAAACGAAATAGTGATATCTCTTCATTTCAATTGGAGTAATAAATGACTGCTTTAAGGCATAAGATGTCGTTTATTCTCGATTGAAAATCATTAGATATCATCATTTTCTCTCTTAATTTTTTTTTGTGTTGTTATTTTGAATTAATAATGAACTTTAGGATGTAATTATAATATTTTCTTATTTCAATTGGAGTAAGAATCAACTACTTTAAGGCATGAAAGGTCGATTCTTCTCGGTAGAAAATAGTTAAATATTATTGTGTTTCGTCCTAAAATTCACGGAATATTACTTGTATGAGATACTAAATTAAATTAGAATCGAATTCTTAAATTTTATTGTAAAAACAACTAATTAATCGACTAGGTATCAATTTAGGGCGCTGTGGGGTGCTAATCATTACCCAAACGTAACTGATTCCCGAACTCAAATTTTAGTAACACATACCACAAATTTGTTATTTTAATTAAGATTAATATTTTTATTAAAATGACAACTACTTTTTGGGTGCCCAATTATACCCTAATCAAATATTGATAACGTCTCGAATCACGTTTTATTATAAACCGATACTCAAATTATTCGGAAACGACATGCTTTCAAAAATCGTTTGGACATATGGGAAGCTTAAAACGAGCCCTGCTACCTAATAGTTAGACTTTACCATATCTATGTTTATATTTTATTATTTTTATAATCATATTTTAAAAATATTTAATATTTGATATAAATTTAATATATCAAAGAATTATGTTATATTAATACTATATTTTATATCACCACCCTAACCTACTTTACACAATAAAAAATCCATCGAACTGGAAAACATAAATTAATTTTTTAAAATTTTAAAAAAGAAAAAAAATTGAAGAAGTGTAATTTTGTCGGTTTCTTAAATTAGACATGACCGACGTAATCCAATGATACATTGATCTGTAGCTGACATAGACGGTGCGACGACCGTGGACTCATAAATTTTAATGCGTAACAAAATATGAAGTTGGAGGTGAAGCAAACCAACAAAATCAAATTGCACACCTAGCAGAAATTATGCAATGCACCAGCCGCGGCTTTGAGTGTTCCATTAGTCAATGTCCATTACAAAAATATGAAGCCATCCCACTTTTAGTAGGGACCTCTTCCTTGACTCCTATATGACCTCATGCCCATGTAAGCCCCGATGGTTCATGGAATCTCGGCTCGGCCGTATTAGCCCGCCTAAGAGGAGAGCCAGTGGTCAGGCGCAGCCACTCTACCTTGCTTGATTTTATGCCAACGAACTGTGGCACAATAATATTATTTTTTGATGTGGTCATTTAGAAAAACTATGCATATTAAAAAAAATTAATAACGTTTATGATATATTTTTTTTGAGAAAATAAATAACTAGTGTGACAAATTTGATATGAAATTGTATTCAAGTATGCTCGTTAAATTTCATCTTATTTATTACATGAATATTCTTGTATTGGTTTATTTTTTTTATATTTTGTATTGGTTTAGGTAACCTGAGATGAGGTTTTATAAATTAAATATTAATGTTTTCAACCTCAATAATTGAAAATATAGAAGGAGATTAACTATAACTATGATGTTCAAGCCTTAAAGTTTTTCGATGAAATATTAATTTCTATATTATTAATTTTTTTTTTATGAAAAAAGAATCTAATCTTTTTCGTTTCTCTATGATTTTACACAATCTATAAAATATAACTATATAAATACATTCATCAAATTTCACAACAAATTCACACAATATATAAATTTAATCGATAAAATTTAAAAATTATGTTTAAAATTATATAATTAAGATATTTAGAAATATTTAAAAATATTTTCATATATATGTGTATGTGTGTGCCAAAAAAAATTTAGAGACAAAAATTCACGAACTCACATAATAAATATATATTAAAAAATAAAATCATAAATATCTAGTGAATTAAAAATATTTTAAAAAATCTTTCAATTGAAATGAAATACTTAATAATTTGATTAAAGACATCAACTCAAAGAAGATGAACCAAAGAGAGAAAAACATATAATTTTTTTTTATTTTGAAATAAAAAATGAAAACGAAAAATAAATATTAATTGATTTTAATAAATAATATTTAAGTATTTTCCAAATTTCAAAACAATATACATAATTTCTTGGGGCAATAATTTTTTTTAATTAAGTATGGAATTATTACATTTCTAATGTAAATATTGAGATTCGAACCTACATAAGACAAGATAATATAAATATTTTTAATCTCTCGACCAACTAATAAATCCATAGGATACTTAAATTTAATAATTTATTATGCACGTCTCTTGAGGATATCAAATTTAATATTTTAATATATATTATATGTATATAAATATATATTTAAAAAGTAATTTTTAGGGGCAAGACCTCGTTATTCTTAAGTACGCTCCGCCCCTGCTCATAAGCTTATTATCTTCCTGTTGGTTTTGCCCCGTTTCAATTCTTCAGTGATTTTTTGCTAGAGACTGTTCACGAGAACGAAAGAAGAAGGCAAGTTCACAAATCCCCACGTTTAACAAGTTTTTTTTTTCTTTCTTCTTTTTTAAAAAATGCTTTTTAAGAAAATAAAGACTACATTAAGATTATGTTATGGCCAAGCTGTAATTGTCAGCTGATCTACATGGCAGTAAAGATTTGAGCCAACGAAAATTTGCCTTTAGTTCATTGAAAGTGTACTGTTTACTTCACACCCTTCTTTGAAAATATTAGAATCCAAAAATTCTTATAACAGGTAAAATGTAAAGGTTTAGCTCAACAATTGTTTAAAGGGACAATAAGAAAGTACGCCAAATTTAGTTACAGCCGATTAGGTGAAGTTGATTGTAATCCAACCACCGCCGGGGGCTGCCGCTGCTCTTTTGTTTGGTCAGTATATTATATTAATTGTTATCATTGGTGGTTGGATCAGGCTGTCCAAAGTCATGAAGGCCCACTCTTTAACAACAATTTTGATTGAAAGACGGTACACCACTACTCCAACTTTGGACTCACTTCCACCAATTGGTTTTGGTTTAGCTCTCTAATCTTTCCGCCTAAGAATAGAGGAATAATTACCTGTATCATAAGATACGAACTTCGCTTTTAAACTCCAAAGCATTTTCTTCTTCTTCTTTTATGTGAGATTAAATTGAACTGTACCTAACACTTTATGACTTCTTTGGATAAGGGGGATCAAAACAGAAAATCACATGAAAGAAAACTCCGTGTTAGGTCTCCCAACCCTTTTAAAAGGCCAAATTAAGTTGAATGATAGTCAAGTAAGTTGCTAGATGAGGGAAGTTTATGTTATATGAGACTTCAAGGATTGCAAGTGTTGGATTTTTATTTTGTTTTCCTTATTGGGCATGAAATGTGTTATCGCTAATTAATAGTTTATGTCCAGCCTACCAGAAACTAATAACTAACATAAAACATAGCCATTAGGTTTAGTCTCCAAGTCCAATCCACACAACCATAGAAAAAAGTTGGGAAACGAACTACAGCATACGTTCGGATTGTGCCCCCAAGTTTTTTTTTTAATTTAAACCTTTACCAATTAAAACTTAATTACCAACGAGATTAATTATATACACATGAATATGAGTGGAGGCATAAGCCAATGACATCAAGTTCATATTAAACGTCTACAGAAAGAACCATGGATGTCTCTATAAAGAACACTACAAGAATAAGCAGGCAGAGACAACATCGAAAACTTTTAAGTAAGCGGTTTAATGATATGAAGTTGTATTTAACGATTTTGTTAGCTGCTTTATTTGGTTCGCGCCAAACAAAATCAATATTAACAAACCATGTTTTGTTCATGAAAATAGTGGATTGCTTCATTATTTTTTTATTATCCAAAATTTTAATTTGTTCGTGAAAACCATAGTGGATTGCTTCATTTATATTCTCCAAAATTTTAAAATATTCATGAAAAAATAGTGGATTTTAAAATATACATGAAAAATAGCGGCGAATGTCGATACATAATATTAGGTTAAATTACTTGTTTAATACATCAACTATTATTTTTTCTATTTTGGTCACATAACTATTTTCTTTTAAAATCATATCTAATATTATGTTTTGATTTCATTTTAGTCAACCACCATTAAAAAATCAGCAAAACTGCCAAAGTGATTTTTTTTTCAATGATGACACATTGATATTAATATTAATATTAATATTTAACAATGGATGACCAATATGAAATAAGAACTAAACATTAGGTATGATTTTGAAAAAATAATAATTAAATGACTAAAATAGAACAAAAATAGTAGTTAATGTACTAAACACCTATAATATTAATTAGATTCATCCTATAGTGTGTATGTGTGAATCACATTGCGAGAATTGGGTTATAACAAATCAAAACAGTTAATCAACAGATAATCTACAATCACCAATGCCAAAAATTAAATTCAATAAATACTAAAAGCTCAGATTCTAGTAATATCTAATAGCATTATCAATTTTTTTTTACAATGATCTTACCCGAATTAAAGCCCCTTGACAAAATGCAAAGCCAATGAAGCTTGCATGATCTAACACCCATGAATATGTGCTCCCAAAGATACTACAAGCAATGAAATACACAATGACACAATTAACTACCATAAAGTAGTTTAATCAAATTACATATCATCATTTCAGAATTATAGTGCTAATTCAAGCATTAAAAAAACACAGAAAGGGCAAAATCGAAACTTCAATCATTTTCCAATCTTCCACATTCTCACAAAATAAACATTACTAACTCAAAGTTCAATCCTTTTCAAGGGGCATTAAAAACCCAAAATTTGTAGTAATAATTAACTTCATCTCCTGCAACGGGTGATCCTAGAGCATCCTCTTGAGTAAGGATGGACCGGTCCATGAGCCTTGAAACAGTTGTGGGTATAATAAGACCTGCCCGATCTTGGTGGACATGGGATCCTATTAGCTGAGAGCGCACCGTACGATATGTAATACGTCATCCTCTTCCAAAACAAAGATCTACGGCTATTCCCATTTCCCTCTTCACCGTCTATATCTTCATCACCTTCATCGTCGTTTAAGTCGCTGTAAAGTGACATTGAAAGCGGCCATTCCAAAGCATCGGTCACCAGCTTCAAGCTTGTTTCTTCAACTTGGGCGTCGACTTTGGAGCTCGACAAGACAATGTAAGTGATGAGAAGGGACAAAAGAAGCTTGTCGAGAAGTGAAGCCATTGTCAGTGACGAGTTGCAGAGGTTTGTTGAAGAAGATGAAGGGTGTTTAAGTAGTGTAATGAAAGTAGGGTTTTGAGGGTTTGGTTTACAGCTGTGCTTTTTAACAATGCCTCCTCCATTAACGCGTGCTTCGGTTCCAGGGCCAATCAGAAGGGCTTTGTCATCTTCTGTGTGTTAGGGTTCATTGTTTTAGATTGGTTATTAACCGTTGATATTTGTGATGTTTGTGGGTCCATCATACCTGGCTTAATCAAGTTCGTTGAAGTATAATGTTTAGTACTTCGGAATGTGGCATATGATAAGAGACACGGTGCACATGGGACAGATGGATGATGGAGGAGGACGCGGCTGGCCGCAAGCCAGACGTGGTGGGATTAGATTGGACCGCTCAAAGGTGTTAACGTTGCAATTCACATGAACAAACGATAATAATGTTGCAATTTAGAAATATTATTTTTTATATGCCTAAATGCTTAAATAAGTTATAAGTCTTTTAAGTCTGATTAGGTAGAGGTAGAATTCAATATTATTCATAGAGAATATTATTTAAAAATATTTAAATTTATAAGAACATACATATTTTTTAAAATGAAAATTAAATTTATTATTGTCTCACCTTAACACTTCCAAAATTTTGTTAAACTTTTGGGAGAGAACATGATCCAATAGTCCCTTCCGAATTACGTCCCCACGTAAATATTTAATGTTTAAATTAAGATTTAATATATTTTTTAAATATGCTTAAACACAAATCTAATATTTTTTTGCAATATTTTTTAATCTATCTATTTAATCCATAACTTAAATAACAAACAAATTTTCATAAAAAATTCACATAATAATAAATTTGATCTATAATATTTATATTTTTGTTGCTTTAGTTTTTTTTTTTGTAATCTTATAGGGTTATGGCAGTAAATATTATATTTTCTACTTAGATAAATTAATAAATATGTTAAAGACGATATTACTCAAATTCAAATTATTTATATGAATATTTTATCTTTTATTATAGGATCGTTCTTTATATTCCTATCAATTTAAATGTATTTAATTAAATTTAAAAATATAATATTAATATAATCTAAATCTATAATGGATGGATCAGAAAAAATTAAAATATAAACCTAAGTTCAAAATATCCAAAATCTAAAAATAATTTAAACAAAAAAGAACCTGGATTTAAATTGATCAAATAGGAATTGATTCAAAAAATTTAAAACCTAAAATCATCTATTCATATTTACCCAACCCAAAGCACACATTACCCGTCCAATTGTTAGCGCAAAGCAGGTGAATAACTGGCCATCCGATTTCCTTAGGCTGGGCAATTTTCGAGTTGGCTTAGCGGACTTAAAGGTGAGCATTTGATTGAGTCGAGTAAAAAATTTCAAGTTATTCGATATGATGAGTCGTATTTTACAATTCAAATTGACTTAAAAAATTTTCGAGTCGAGTCGAGTTATTCGAGTTTCTATACAAATTTAATTGTAATTATTTGTAGTATTATAGTACGAATTTATTCCAATTTTTCGATTTTCTCTAACCATATAAAATATATTTTTTCTCCATATTTTTTTCACATTACAATATTATTTAATATATCACATACAATCTAAAAGTATAAAATATATTTATAATATTATATTTCCAATAAGGTGTTTTGAGGATAAAAGATTAAATGATAGTATTATAAAGGAGTTAAAGAATTGATGTGAATAAAGAATTTGTAAACAATTATAGTCAAAGGATTAAATTGAGTAAAATACAAAGTTACATAAGTAATCTATAGTGGTAGGGGAGCATATGGTTTAAATTTGATCAAAACGTCCTTAAAATGAATGATGAATCGAAGAAATATAAAAATCATGTAAAATTAAGGAACTAAATTGAAAAATAAAAAAATATTATCAAGAGTGGAATTGAAAGTACATGTATATTCTATGATGGTTTAGGAGCATGTAGTTCAAATTTGTTAAAAATTAGACTTAAAATAAAGGAGAAATTGAAGGAATAAGAAATTAGAGATCAAATTGTAAATCTATAAAAAAATTCATACAAATTTTCTGCTTTTCGAGTTATTCAAAATTTAAACTCGACTCAAACTGAAAAACTGAATTGATAATTTGATTTGACTCGAATAACTTAAAATTAAAATAAAATTCAATTCAATTTTTCGAGTTGAATCGAATTTTGTTGACCCTAGCTTAACCCAAGGTGCAGGCAAGATATTGGATGGATTCAAAGCCCGCTCATGGTCGCCATAACCAACCAAATTTAGCCCAAGTTGACTAATAAAGGAACCCAACAGGGCGTCTCCACGACTAACGACTCAAAGCGGCAGGAGCGGGCGAGGGAGGGAACGAGCGAGACGAGAGGGAGGGAGAGGGATCTTCTTCTGCAAATTTTAGGGTTTTTGGTTGGACTTGTCAGGTCAGTGAGCGCCAACAAGGGAAGATGAAAACCAGAACCGTTCTATAATTCTAGTCGATTACTACTCCAATTGATCAGCTGTTTTCTGAATTAAAAATTTCTTTTTTTTTAAATATATATTTATATATAAAGATTGTCAAATTGATTTCGTATTTGCTGATGATTGTGTGTGAGAAAGAGCGCGTGCTTATTTGCAGGAAGAGAAAGAGGAAGAGACAGTGTGTGAGAGAGATTTATTAAGAGAGGATCTTTGTGAGGGAGCTTTGGTTTTGAGTGTGTTGAAGATTTCAACGATTTTCATTTCTCAGCTCAAGTTCTTCCATTTCTCCATGGACCGGAAGCTTGTGGTTGGTTTCCCCTTCTTAATTTTGTGAAAGGTTACGTTTTTGTTACTGGATTTTTTTTTATTTTGTTGAATTTGATTAATTTTTTATAGGTTTTGGGAATCCCGTGGGAAGTGGATACTGAAGGTTTGAGGGAGTATATGCGTAAATATGGTGATTTGGAAGATTGTATTGTCATGAAGGTTTTCCCCTTTTTTATTCTCATTTCTTTTATCTATATATTCAATGATTTTATTTTACTGGAGGATTGTGAAAGCTTCAAATTGCTTTATATGCAGAAAAAAAATGTAATTTCAATCACTTAATTAGCATGGGTTGGTATTTCTCTCAAATTTTAATTATTCTACCTTAGTTATTTTGAGGATATGTAGAAATAAACGTGTAATTACTTTTTTTTCCTTATGTTGTTCATTGGTATCAATGTTCTTTTTTCATTGTATAGGAGCGATCCACAGGCCGATCTCGTGGTTTTGGTTATGTAACATTTGCATCTGCTGCTGATGCTAAGGTAATCATTGCCCCTATCACTCACGTTTTTATTTCCCTTAACCTTAAACCATGTGATAAAAAAACAGTGCTTGTGTTTATTTTCCACAGTGTGTGCTATCGAGAGAGCATTTTCTTGGGGAGAGAATGTTGGAAGTTAAAATAGCTACGCCAAAGGTTTAACATAAACTTCAGTAGATGCCTTTTTCTTTGAAAATTCTTACCGGTTAACTAGTTTTTTACCAATTGCATCATTTTTTTTTTCACGTTGACAGGAGGAGATGAGAGCACCTGTAAAGAAAGTAACCAGGATATTTGTGGCCAGAATCCCACCTTCTGTGGATGAATCAACCTTTCGGAGGTAATTAAGTGCAGCATATGTTCATGGTAGTTTAAGAATTGCCCGTCTAGCTCAGTTGGTAGAACGCAAGGCTCTTAACCTTGTGGTCGTGGGATCGAGTCCCACTGAGGGCAATTCATAACAGAGGTCTTCTACGGAAGCTGCTCTCAACCTGGCGTTGGAGGCAGCCTACTACCCTACCTCCCCCTTACCCCATTACATATGGGAATAGGGTCAGCTAATTAATTATATGTTCATGGTAGTGTTGTCTTTTTAACTTTTTGCTCTTTTTTCTCTGAACATGATTTATCAACTCTACTCAACAAAACAATGGCTTTCTTTTTTTGAGCTGTCTAATCATGTTCAATGGGTAAAGAAAAAAGTAAGGACTAGGACTTGTTTTGTGAGCTACGTGAGGAATTAACATAACAATCAGTATATTCTTGTTCACAGTCATTTTGAGGAGTATGGTGAGATAACAGATTTATACATGCCCAAGGTACTCTCTATCTGTATTTGTTCATGTGTCTATGTTATGCTTATGGCTGCATGTAGATGTAGTAGCTTTCTTGTTGGAACTTTTTTAGATTATTATTAAGCATGTGCTTCACAGGATCAAGTCTCAAAAGCACACCGTGGAATTGGCTTTATCACCTTTGCTAGTGCAGGTCAGTTTATCTTGTACCTGGCATATCTCCTTTAAGTTAATTGTCCGCATCAAATGGTTTTCATGTTTGCGTTTGACCTTCGGGATATTTTATTTAGTGTCTTCAAGATTAAAGTTCTACAAGCTATATTCTTGCCTGTTTTTCCAATTGAAAATCCCAGTTGTGCAGTTAATAATCACCTGTTACTTGTTCGAAGTTAGGTATATATATACTGGTTCTTTTCCTCCTCTCTTGTTATGTCCGACAGTTGGATACTTGTTTTACATGTACAGGTTCTGTGGAGAATCTGATGGCCAATACTCATGAACTAGGAGGTGCTAATGTAGTAGTTGATCGAGCAACACCCAAGGCAAGTCACAAGCCAGTGTTTTTTTTTTGTTTTTAACAATTTACCTGTTTTACCACCCAAAAGTTCCAAGTGGACCTTTTAGAACAGGACAAAGTGCAATTTGGTTTCGATATTCTATTCCCCTAGAAATTTCACATTTATACTCGATATATGTGGGGGATAATATCACTATTTTGATATTATGTTGACAGGAAGATGATTTCAAGCCTACGGTCCGAATGTCACAGGGGGGATATGGTGCATATGATGCTTACATTTCTGCTGCGACTAGATATGCTGCAGTAGGTGCTCCTACCTTATATGACCACCCTGGCCCAATGTATGGAAGTAAGTTCCTTTCCTACCAGCGACTTTGATTTGCAGAATTACATTTACTTATGTTGTTATTTTTCCCCTTTATGT